CACTTGTACTCGAAATGGAAGTAAGCTCAATAATACAACAATCTTGCCTACGCAGCAATCCTGCTTCGGTGTGTCGGTGAGACGGCGTCACGAATTGCTTCCAACCGACTTTTCCCTCAAAATGCAAAGTTCCGGCACAATAAGGGATACAGAAGACCGAGAAGAATGCTGGAAAGCTAGTCCAAGTAGGAGAGGCTGAGAAGACAGGCGCGCCACAATCCAGCCCCATTTGGGACGGTCTGAGCAGACTCTTAATCCTCCAGTTGACGGGACCGGACTTGAGACCAATCGACAGCAAAGAGAAGTGAATGCAGACAGCCGAGACGACGGCGCCCAGTGCAACCGTGACGAAGAAACGTCGCGAAGGCATGTGACATGAAGACAAAAGTCGATCAGCGCTTGTTAAAGGAGTTTAACCGAAACCGAAACCGGACGGTAACACAAGGCGGAGGAGATACGGCCAAGATGGCCACGTTGCAGGGGTGGGGGGAAGTGAATGGCAATCTGCGACCGGGATTATGACGTAATGAGATGCCAGTGTTATGAGTTTCTGCGCGCGAGCCTGCAAGAAGTGGCACTGGGGCAGAGCGCATGAAAAGGCGCGTCATAATATTGATTATGTCACATAACCTGAAAGGTGCGAATGTCGGCGTCTGATTGGTGCTGAGGTGGAGTCTCATCGAACCAATAACAGGCTCGGGTCCGGCTGGCGGGCTGTGATTGGTCGACAGTCAGAATCATCAAGACTCGTGTGTCTGTGTGAAAGGGTGCATTCAGTGTCAAGGCGCTGAAGTGGCGTGACGAAGAGAGAGGCAGGCGAGCGGGCCACCACGACGCCAATCTCTAAAATCGGCGCATTTTTAATCTCTTTCGCCGAGGAGAGACACAACGTAACGCACGCCAAAACCGGTGCTGTGATGGAGTCGTCGAGCTGCAGCTTTTCTTCATATCTCCTCTTGAAGCCTTATTTATTAATAATGCATATACGACGAAAATGCGGATTTCGAAGAGTCTCATGAGGTAACATAGTTGTTGAGACTTTCATTTCGTATGAAAATGCATGAAGGGATCGGAAGGTCAATCTCACCGGAAGAGGGTTGTACCGCGGACATTTGAATTAAACGCCACGATCCGGTTGAATCAGTCCACGAGATATGCTCCCCTGTTTTAGCTCAATCATTATCTATCTATCTATGCCTATACTCTTTCGTTTTTTAGTTAAACGTTAGGAAGAGCCGGACAGTCGTCTAGACCCGGCGACATAAGTTTCCGTTTCGAAGGGATAGTCGGCCTGAAGGAAGTAGCGAGTGAAAAGTGCCGTGGAGTGAAGATTCTTGGATTGTGCGAAGAAGTGGTCGGCTCGTCGTTCTAAGACTCCGATCAACTCGTGTTAAACTTTGGTCCGTCTGGTCCTGACAGACATCGACAGAGCAAGACACCGTACTCTACGAAATCGAGCAAAAATATGGCAATTGAAGATATGAAGACGAAGATGATGTGGCCTCTGGTATGGTCGTAGTCTCCTTACGATGTATAGAAGTGGGTTGACCTCGTTGTCGCAAATTAGTCTTGTGGTCAGGGCGACTATGTAGAACGCATCTAGTCCCAAGTCGTCTGCCATATTAATTGTCATGTTACCCAGCATCAAACAATGGACTTGGTACATTCTCAAACGTTTCGCCGGCATCGTAGTCGGCATCATCAGTCAGTTTTGCCATTCACCGCACCAAGCTACAAACTCGTCAAAGAGACTGGATGCCACACCATCTTGATCTTCATATATTCAAATTTTGCTATTATAATAATTGCACTACTTATATTGCTCATTACTAGTTTTTATAATTCCCAGCATCAGAAAGTTGACTTGATACATCCTCAAACGTTTCTTTGACGAGTTCGTAGCTTGTTGCGGCGAATGGCAAAACTCACTGATGATGCCGGCGAAACGTTTGAGAATGAATCATGACAACTAATATGGCGGACGACTTCGAACTAGGTGCGTTCTACATAGTCGCCCTGACAACAAGACCAAGTTGCGACAACGAGGTCAACCAACTTCTCTAAAAATATAGCAAACTAAGAAAAAAGGTAGCCGGCTGCAACTATAGTCACATTTTTAGATCCGGTGATTTGGTTGGCTACCTCAAACTTATTCGACATGTTTTTAGATGAGTGAAGTTAATTCCCGAACCGGAAGTGGATTTGTCTATTGTGTGTATGTAATGTTCATATCATGAGAGGTGTGATAGTCCTAGTTAGACCCCTTCTCCATTAGCCTGTCCAATAGCCGAAAATAATTCCTCCTATTCTGGAAGTTGATTTTGTTAATTTCTATAGACTCCTTAACCTTATGCCTTGATGTGAATTCCTCGTAACCCACAAAACGTTGTGTTTTGGGACCAGTCTATTAAATGTCCTATATTGGCCATGTGTTTAGCTAGCTTAGATTTGTGGACCGATAGACCTTCCAGGCAACCTTTCTTTCGAAACTCATTTTTTATTCAAAAATAAAG